ACTCTCCCAGAAACACTGTTTCTCGGCACTTGGTTTCAATTTTAAACCCGGCCGTGCTCATTATAGGCTCCGCCTCTTTATCGCGAAATGTAATATATTTCTATATACTGCATGTCGATGCAATCAAGGCTGATACTGATTGATCAGACCTGTTGCTCGCAGCTTTCATTTCAAAAGGGTTACCAAAGGATATTTTGAAAGAATGGGAGCTCTTTCTGAATGAGAAAGATCTTTCCACCTTCAACTCGAGTACTTAGAAATACATCAGAGAAGCGTAAGGGTTTTTTCAACGACCCTGCTCACGTTCAATCAACTTCCAACCTTAAAAACAAGCCTAATGCCTCCAGGCCAAATGACGTTAATAACACTGGAAAAGACAAAACACCATTTGTCCGAAATGTAACTCGGGACATTTGATCAAGGATTGTCCTTCATGCTTGAGTCTTACACCCAATAACCGTCTTGAGTTCATTTACAAATGCGGTAGGTGCTACAAATGTTTTCATCAGATAACGAGTGGACATTCTTATTCTATAAATAAGCCATTTGTGGCAAACTTAATCACAAGATCCTCCATTTTGGGGACAAATACTCCTCGGATAATCAATCCATATCAGCTGTTGTAAGCAGTGTTGCTAATAATAGTAGAGATAAACCTTTGCCCTGCTTCTAGATACTGGAAGTAGTGTTAATCTGATTTTATGGGATGCTGTTAAATCGCTTAAATTACCTACGGTAAAAGCACCTGTAATCATTTCTGGCATTGGTTTAGAACCTATGATAAGCACTCACAGTTTCTGTCACTCACAAGCTACGCAACACCCTTATGGGGTGGTCATGTTAAGTAACTTGTTCGGCTGTACTTAACATTCCCAAGGCGCTTTCACATGGTTGTAACTGTGATGAATGGAACCTACTTACAAATGTTAGTTTATGCCGATCCCACTTTTGGAGATGCAAAACCCAATTATCTCCTGCTTGGAGCAGACATCTTTTTTGATATGTAGTTACCAGGCAAAATAAGCAGGTCCGACGGTTTTTACCCTGTATTACAGGAAACTAAATGAGGATGGATACTTGCGGGCAAAACCTTATTATCCCAAATATCCTACCCCTCGCAAGTTGCAATTTTATTCCAACTTCTTTCGAATCACCTGACCAAATGAAACATTTCTGGGAGGTGTAAAAGGTTGCTTCTCTCCAGCCAATTTTGAACGAGGAATTTTGGACGTAGTCCAGATTCTTTGGGTGAATCCAAACCACAGGCAATTAAACGCTTTTTAGCATGATAAATAACTTAAATGCTTTTTAGCACTTGAAAGGGACTCGCAATTAAAACAAGCTTATGACGTTATTAATGAGCAAATCAACTTAGGGCATATCCAACCAAAACCCAGCCCTGTTGATAATTACAGTCCCCACCACTTAATTTTCAAACCGTCCAGTTCGACGACGAAAACGAGAATCGTATTCGATGGGTCTGCTAAAATCACCATTGGCGTTTCCCTTAATGACGCCCTCTTAAATGGCAGCGAAATTCAGGACGATCTCTTCGACCTTTCACTTAAATTCAAGATAATCGGTATAGTAGCAATACTCAAAAAGATGTTTCGTCAAGTCAATATTGATCCATCTAATTACAGCGACTCTTGTGGAGAAATTCACCCTCTGAACCCGTACAAGACTTCGTCTTAACAACAATAACATTTGGTTTGAAGCCAGCTACTGTTCTTGCTGTACGCACTCCGTATCAGCTTGTCACTGACTAACGCACAAGCTTCCCAATAGGCTCTCACGTGGTAATGTCAAACTTTTATGTTGATCTTTTGTGCTCCTTTCCAAACTTATGTGTTGCTCATCTAAATGCCCTCCTAACAAGTGGTGGTTTCTTCCTAAGTAAATCGGCTTGAAATGACAAGTCTGCATTGTCAGATCTTTCAGATCACCTGTTAGCTAAATCTAATCCCAAAATTTTCGAGTCTAAACACTCCGAATCAATTCTCACTACAAGTATATCCTGGAATACTGTCACTGACATGTTCAGTTTGGAACTACCACACAAAATTAATTTTAATGCTAACAAATTCATTAAAAGAGCAGTGTTGTCTATAATTTGTTCTCCTTTCCACCTTCATTTACTAGCTCCCTGCATCATTGTTTGCAAATTGCTATTTAAAAAATTATGGAACTTCTCCCTCAGCTGGGATCAACCACTTCCATCTGACATTGCTCCTAAATGGCAAGAGGTGTTTACTTCATCAATTGATCGAGGTTGAGATCCCACGGCGTGTTTTATCATTGAATTGCTCATTGATCGAACAACGTGGTATCTCTAAGAGTAGCCTAGACGCCTATGGCGCAGCCATTTTTGTGCGCTCCACCAATAAACACAGTATTCATTCAGTAAAATTGCATGGTGCAAAATCTAAAGTAGTACCCTACCTTACCATGAAGCGTAAAGGTGACTCCGTCTTAACCATTCCTCGCCTAGATCTGTGTGCTACCGTTCTCCTCACAAAACTTTTCAGCCAAGGTCATTTAAGTTTTCTCGTGATCTCACTGTCAATTCTGTAACATTATGGACCGATCCCAAAATAGTGTTAGATTGGATTCGCTCGCCACCTTTCAAGGACAATGTGTTCGTGGGCAATCGTGCCACGTTTATTCGAGAAGCCACCAATGGTTTCACGTGGCGACACATTCAATCTTCACTCAACCCTGTCGACCTGCTTTCACGCGGCGTCAAGCCAAGATACTTGAAAGCTAAATCTGAATATTTGGTGGACCGGTCCACAATTTTTAACATGTGATCCAACTTCATGGCCTATCGATAGTATAACGTTTATCAATCCTCCTATACTAGTTTGCAGTCCTTGCGACTCGTTCCTCAATAACATGATTTGTTCTTTTTATGCACAAAACGCTTCGAGTCATGGTTCGCGTCCTCGCAATTCATTTCTTTACTCAAAACTGCTAAATTACGATTAAGGTCACAATCGCCTTCCACCTCTGAACTCATGGCAATCATCAGTGTTCATAAACTCAGTTCTACTCTACAGCCTATATCAAAATCGTGCAACAGTGCGCCTTCCTCCCAGTGCTAAATACACGCAACGATTCAGTTTGCCCCACGAATAGCTGTTCATACGCTGAACCCTTTTGTTGACAAAAACGGCTGTCTGCGAGTAGGCGCAGGATGTCCTGAATCACCTTTCGGTACGCTTCACCCCCTTATTTTGCCTTGTGCACATCAATTCACGGGTTCACTTATCTTTGACGCTCATTTAAAGCTAGCTCATGCCAATGAACACATTTTAACAGTGCGTCTGCAACAAGGTACTGGGTTGGCTCCATTCGCAGACGAATCAAATGCGGCAATCGCAAATGTGTAAGATGCTTCTGACATAATCCAACATCCGCACAACAGCTTAAGATCTCTGCTGTACGTCTTACCCCAAGTGCCACCTTTGCCACTGCGAGACTGGATGATTCAGGTCGTTTCTGGCTATTTGGTGTTCGTGGCAAGTCACGAACCAGAGTCTATCTTGCATTATTTCTGTGCATGCTCACACAATGCATCGCACACATCTACTAATTAGTTCAATTGATTTTTTAGGATAAGTTGCCATACATTAATTTCAATCAATCAATTGCGCACCAGTGTAATTCCTCCCACCAAACACCAATCAATCACCCTTTAATCTGAACTACCTAGCTCCTTCTACCATCTTTTTTTATCGAAAACCATAAGTTTTTTTACAGGGGTGTATGTTAGAACTCGCTGCATAGACATCTATTTTATTCCATAACGCAATAACGCTCTAGAGAATCCACGAGTTGGGTTGGGTTGGTTAATTTAGTTCTAGCGCCGACCACGGATGTTGCAACGTCCTGGGCTATACTTCTACAAATTAAATTTATTGTCACTCGCTGCAAGCGTTGACATGTTTCACCTGCGTGAGAGTAATGCAATGGGGCCCAAGCTACTCCGAACCACTCCGAGAGCGCCCCCCCCCCCGACGGCCGGCACACTTCCCCTCTGAATACCGTGAGAAGCAGTTACAGATTTCTCAGTATTCTCGGTATTAGATAGGTGTCTATGGATTCGTTAGACGCCCAGAGACTCGGGGAACAATACAAAAAAATCTATATTACTATTTTTCAACGCGCGCAGAAATTGAAAGGCAACTTTGCAACTTCGGCCTTTTCAGAGATATCAATGATATCGTTAGATACCCAGCAACTCAGAAAAATCCAATAACAATTAGTTTTGATTTCCACTGAAACATGAAATACATTTTCTTGTGTTACTCAACTTACTCTCATACTCCGCATACCGACTGAATTATCGTATTCGGTACGTCACTACTTAAAGAGATAGTTGACGTCATGCGACAAGACAGTTCCAAAGAAGAGGCCGCTTGGCATTACAAATTTGCTCTCTCAGTGTTGCGATATAGAACATCAACTTTCTTGATATACTTGGTATGTAAAGAACTGTTGTAATATATATAAACTAGATTTTGCAGTTTTAGTGAAGAGTGAGTTTCTTAAAATGTTTAATTTATTGCAATAATAAACGACAATATTTTATTTGCCGTTCTTGGGCAGAATGCATTCTACTTTTTGTAAAACCATTTTGAGTACTTTTGTTCACTAGTATTTGTCCACTAGTTTTAAAGCAAAACCTTTAAAACAATTCTGGAAGTTCATAAATACACAAAATATTTACTTTTTCACAAAAACCAAATTCAAAACTGTTTTGAATAACAAGACCGACATAACAAACAAATGATATGTTTCTAATGTATTATAGTAAGTTTTAAATAACTTCAACTGTTTTCCAAATGTAGCAACACACATCGAGATAGGGGGTCAGTCATCCAAGTTCTTAAGTATATTAAATCTAATGAACAAGTCACCTCTATAGTACAGCAAATGAACTTAACATTTTCCCTACCGTACATTGATCACATAGGTTTAATAAACAAACAAGATACCTTCACGTTTCAGAACCCCAACTGGTACCAATACACTGGGAACTGGATGTGATAACGCATTGGCCGCTTGCTCTAAAGGAGGTATTGTAGAGCAATATTCCATTGGATTGTTGGGATTTGGTTTACGGCCAGCACTTGTTACACCGTTAGAAGTATTTGATGATGCATCTGATAACCCTTTCAAGGAGTCATTCTCTTCATCAGCATCTAAAGATAATAAGACAACATTAGAAAGCATATGGAAAGAGAGTTTTGATATTAACACAATACAGCAAGCACATGTTCAAATAAATGGGTTAGTATGTTATGTAAATGTATAATGTAATATAAAGAACAATGTTATATCAATATGTTAATGAAGGAGCTTTATTTTAACATTTTTTAAATCCTTTATCTTAACTCTGACTCCTAGCCATTTGGCGGAATACTATATTTTCCCGAAAATACTGCATTAATAATTGAATATATATGGTAAAATAATTTTGAATCAGCTGAAAAAATACTATTACAGTCAAAAAGTTAAATCAGAATGATTTCACATTAAATATTGAATACACTATATCGAATAGGCAGCATATCAAAGTTTTATTTCTCTCAGTGTTATAAAATGCATAAACTGGATATTGTAATGATTTCTAAACGTGTTGATGGTGAAAGCTCATCATTCTACCAGAAAGTATACTGGATATATGTGTTCCTGCGTTCTCCTGCGTGAACAGATAAGAATGTCGACACACGAAAATGATCTAAAATGGGATACTACGAACACTACTTCATATGCTAATTAATTGTGTCATCAACCTGAGCACTAACATCACGTAAGGTTCTCTATACCACTGCGCACCTTATTTGTTTGAAAGCTTGTAATTTTTCAACATTCAAGAGTTCATAAAAATCAAACTTGTGCAATACAATTCAGTGTATTTTGTTCTATCGTGACAAGATGTATAAAAAAATTGAAGCAGTTTTCGGGTAATTCCTATTCCAGTAGTTTGGGAAAAAGTCACGATTTCCGTCAAAATTACTCTTCAAAATCTCTTTTTTTTTTTTTTTTCAAAAAATGTACACAAAATTTTATAGATCTAAAATTCAGAGTTACATTGCACTCACAAAAAATGTGTAGCTTCATATTTGAGATGTACGACAGTTCGAAAAATTTTATCATTTTACGAGGCTTTAATCGAAAATATTCCTCATTTACTACTCCTCTACTAGAGGAAATTCAAAGCACTACAAGAGCACATATTTCCTCGCATTCTTTCTAAATTTTCAATTTTCGAAAATTCAGAGAGTTCAACGAAAATGCGAGCAGCGTCATTCGTTTAAGCGTCCTTTGTTTTATCTTTGGAACGGTATTTGAGAAAATATTTTTTTTATAATTTTCATCAACTTAAATTAGAAATTACGCGAAACTATTAATTTTTTTTCAAAAATCGAACATGGACCTTTTTTAAGAGCTGGTTTTTAAAAACACGGTCTTAGACACCCCATCCGGTCGAAAATACTCATCGATGATACTCCGGTAGAACAAGGTTTTAATGTTGACTATCTCGGATAAGAAATTAGTCATGACGCCGATAGGCACATCAAACATAAACTCAATAAAGAAAAGAAAAAATTGTAGATTCTGTAGATTTTGATTCTATAAATCCATGTTTTAGGTCTGAAAACGCTCGGTTTTTCCCAGAGAAAATTTTCCATTCACATGTAGAAAATTTTTGGGAATGACAAAAGAGAAATTGGCCGATCATTTTGAAATTCACACTTGTTACCTTTTTAACGTAGCTTAAAGGGAGTCTGACGGTGTATCTATTCGTTACACAAAATACTGTATTATACTTAACCAGAATTATTTGAATAGAATATCATCAAACCGTTTTACAGAATTTAAAAAAAGAATAGAAAATAATGTCAAAATTAGACACATATTAATCCATAATATGTATTTTGTAATATATTTTATTATTTTGGTTAAGTAGATCAGTCATTGTAAATTGGTCATATGTACAAGAAAAAAATATTTTTTCAGGAACGAATATTGACGTAAAATTTAACAGTTAAATACTTTTTTTCCCACAGTTTATCTAGCGATAACTTGCACTACATGATGTAATACCATACTTCTCTTCATTATTAACTAAAACTACCCTCCTCTTCTTAACTCTTGGCTCTTTAGTCAACAATTTTCTAATAACAAGGTATACTTCCCTACAAAACCATGTTTCTAACCTCATGAACACAGTGAATAGATGTAAACAAACCAATGTTAAAATACTACAACAATAAAGATGTAACAATTGTGACAGTTTCCCCATGTGAAGAACAAAACCTATTCTTAGGGTCTACATAAGTTACAGACATTAAGATAATTAGGTGGACTCAATAAACCAAAATTAAGTGTGTCATAACAGAAGAGACGTGCCCCCGATCGGCTGCAGAGAGATTTAAACATTAAAAGAAATTATATATAAAATTTTGCAATAAAAGTTATATCACAGTGTTCAGAAAAGTCTAAATAAATTAACTAGCTTAAGTTTTTAAACTGTCATAATTTTCGTATTTTCGCTGCCAGACTCCTCTTAATTTTTGATGTTTTGACAATATTCTTATCATAAAGAAGCATTGAAAATGTCAGTTAACAAGTGTATAAAGGGAGGTTTAATAAACAATATGGAAATTCATCCAAACCAGACGAATATTTATTTTTTAGTTTACGGCCTATTCTGAGGATTTCATTGGAGTTTTGAAAATAAACGTAAGAGTAGAAAATTTTCTGGAACGCGTATGATGTTGAAATCTGTGGTTTTAGTCCCTTCGTGAGATCAACCACAATTTTAGAAAAGTGTTTGTTGAAGAGGTTTGCACCTTTTAACAGCTCTTCTACTTGCTTCTCTTTTCTTTTTTTATTCAAGGTCGCATCAGCATCTAGGTCATTGGCAATCACAATTGGATTAACCGTTATGGTAACTGCGAAGATGTATGCTATGGTGATAGGTGTAAAAGATCGAACAAAAATACAACCATGTCCGAGGCGTAACTCGAACCCGCGATCCTTCAGTCCGAAATCGCAACGGCACTACTGCCTTAACGACATCGGCCAACCGGAAGACCTTGCTTCACTGTGATTCATTTAAAACAACATTCTGAACACAGTATCTAGATGATGTGGTCGTATTTTTAATGATAGTCCGCATTGTTATAGTTTTGTTAGCGTTCAAAATAGTCTGATCATTTTTAAATATTCTTGTCTGTACCACCCTTACAACGCTTTCGTATTTTCGGAAGAAACCGGGCAAGGGTGGCTAAGCTAAGCGGGTTTCGTGAGTCTTCCGCTAATGTTGGCAAAGCCAGAACGTACATACATCAACGTTGAGCACGTTCTTGTTCAGATGTCACCATGTTTTGAAGTTGTTTGTACTATTTCGTAGACCATCATAATTTCGTTCAGTCCTTATATGCTGAAAGTGTGTGATTATTATTTTATTGTTTGTTGTTTATTCTATCAAATTATTTTACGATCGTTATTAATTTTATGATACACTCTACAAACAACACTGTATTGTGACGAGATTATGGCATAACAGGATTGTGAGTAGAATTTTGTACTGTTCAAATTCGTACTCTATTTAAAATTGTACTGATACAAACCTAACACAACCTTAACCTGAGATACAAATGTTAAACTTTACTATTACAAGATATACCAAGAGAAATACTGTTTATTAAAGGTGTAAGCTTTCAGTTCTCCATTATGAAGTTACAACTAGGCTACACTAAATATCCTTCAGATGTAAATTCTTCAATCTGCCCCATCAGCCCAATCAGTTTTTCTTCAATCTGCCCCAACACCAATAACGTCGATCTCTTCAAAAGGGGAAAGCGAGTCTAAAAATCAATTTCAGACAACTCTTTCAAGAAATTTGCCCTCTCTCGAATCCATCTAGTTCGCCAAAGTGGAGAAATTCAATATTAAAAAACGCGGTCGTCGTCACCGAATGAAACTCTACATAACCTCTCCGCCACGTTTCCTTAAGCCGGCTTACCTCCCTAAAGCGATCGTTCGGCTAGCACTTATGTACAAAGCATCGCTTAATGCTAAGCGAAGCTTACAAACCATAATGAAACGTTATTTTGACATGAACTAGCTAATTTCGCTAAAGCCTCGCTTAACAATATCAAGCGGACGTGGTGAAACCCACCCTTCGATCGCACTGTAAGGCTGCCTGGATAAATTCAATTTTATTTCAAAGAGATTGAACATTTGATGCATTATTCGAATCTTTTGCATGGACATTACACGGATCCTTTTCTGTTGCATCTGACTATAGTTGCTATTTATTTATCTCATTCTTGAATGCGTGGTTGAAGGAAGGCTCGTGTCCTAGCAGTGGCAGGTGGGGCAACAGACATAGTGTTGAATAGTAGGAGAGGTAGGACAAGAATTAGGTTCAGGGGATAAGGTAATTGGGTCCGAAGAGGTCTCGGATGATGGAAGAAATCTAGGAGTTATGGGTGGGCAGTGTCTGGGAGGACACTGCCGAGGTCATGAAAACTCGCTACCGAAGGCATGTTTTCCGACAATGTTCAGGTGAAGATTGTGCCGAGTGGAAGCCTTAAAAAAAAAAAAATAGCTCAAATAGTTTAGCATTTGTGCCTCTCATATGTAGTTTCAATTAGTTGTTGCGTGCCTAATTTTAGTACCAATCTTCAGTAAAAATTTTAACCTTTAGATTTAACTGTAAATAATTTTTAAAACATTGTAAACTTACGCAAAAAAGACTTCATTTACCCATCGAGGTTACGTGGTACAAGGAATTCTTGCAGCTAGCTTGTACATTTGGGAATAGTCCCAAGCTATCGCTAGCTGTTAGTACAAAAAAAATATGTCGCGGACTGCAGTACGTCCATGTTCTTCTCTTAGTGTTGCACGTCCAGGGTGAAAAGTACAAAATGAATTCCATAGTGAATTGCAATGAACTTCATCAAAGAATTAGAGAAATGATGATTGCCTTCGCACTACAAAAACAGTTTGTGATAGCATATCTTATGAACATATTTGACTTCACCATGAATGGTGATGTCAAGACAATATTCCATCAGTGCGTCACAAGCTATTATTCCATTATTGTAAAGGCTAAAAACGACTTACCCTTAAAATATCTGTCAAAGAAAATGAATGTGAAGAAAAATTACAGAATATATTGGTC